GGGGGAAGGCGCGCCGCCAGGTCGTCGAGGTGGGTTTCGGCCCCACTCCCAGCCAGTCTTCGGTCAGCTTTTCCCAAGCCTCCCTCCCAAGCAGGACAGTCAGTGAGGGCTATAAACACAAAAGAGCCCACTCCGCTTTATTTACAACACGCAGGCTGTCTGTACAAACAGCTGGCCGACGGTATTAAAAACAAAAGAGGTGAGTGAGTCCCGTCACCTTTCTGTTTTCCTTCCTCCCCTCGGCCAGGCTCTGGTTGGCCCTCCACCTCCGAGCTGCCCTGCCCGAAAGGGGAAGGCCGAAATTAAAACTACAACCGGTGTAGAATAAACGGGGAGTGAGAGAAAAGACGAGGAAGGGGAGGGGGGTGCTGTATTTACACTCGAGTTTTACAGACAACTGTCCCATTCCACCCCAATTCCAACGCTGGCCCACAAGGTGAGGGGTGGCAGGTCTAAGGGGCAGAAATGAAGTGTCGAGGGACCCAGACGGCCTCCCACCCCCAACGGTAATGGGTCCACGTTCAAGTCCACAAGGTGGGAAGGAAAGGTAAGGTTGGAGCCGAGACACTCATTTCCAAACCAGCCTCCCTCGGGTATTCCTGCCTTTGAAGTGGGACAATATCCAAGCTCCAGGGGACATCCTGAGGACCCCGAGGCTCAGTTCCCAAGTCCTGTTGTCATTTGGAAGTCCCAGCCTAGAGATGGCGACGTCACGGCTCTCCCGATTTGGGAGGCCCCCCTAACCGCCGGGCCTCTGGCCGCAGTTCCTTGCATTTCTGGCAGTAAAAGAAGTCGGGGACATTGGTCTTCTTAATCTTCGCACAGGACAGGTGGATCCATGTCCCACACAGGCTGCACTCGATCATGGGCCGTCCTGCAAAGGGCTTTCGGCAGTAACACGTGATCAGGTCCCATGAGTCATCACCTGGGGAAAGAAGGTTTGTTTGGTGCTCTGCCCGAGCTCTTGGGTCCCCAGCAGCCCCGAGCCCGTCCTCCTAGCTAACCCGGGCCAGCCCCAAACCTCGCACCTGATTCCACCATGATGTCCTCGTCCATGACGCGCATCTCGCCTTCGCTGGAGCTGGCGTCTCCGTCTTGGCTGGTTTCCGTGCTCCCCACGTCCTTGCTTTCGCTGTCAGTGGGAGGGGCTCCTTCGGGGTGCACCGTGGCAGCAGGCCTAGGAGCCTCTGGGGGTGTCGGCAGCACGGGGGCGGGGGCTTCACCCCCCACCATTGCCGCCATCTCTTCTTCCTCCTCCTCTTCCTCTTCTTCCTCCTCCTCTTCAGAGTCTGTGTCACTGGGGGGTGCCCGGGGAGGCCCAGGAGGTGGGAGTCTATCCCCCCGCTCTGCCTTTTTCAACTTCCGTTTCTTGCTCTTCTTAATTCGAGACCTCTTTTCCCCATCCCCGGGAGCCGGCCGAGGCCTCCGGAGCACCCCAAAGCCAGCCCCCCCTCCCGGCCCCAACTTTCGGTTCTTTCGGTCCTTCTTTCGAGGAGGTTGGGAGAGGTCCCCCTGGGAAAGGGGTACCGGGGTGAGAGCAGCAGGGGGCCGGGAGGCATGTGTCAGGGATGTGGGGGACAGTGGAGACGCCATTTTGGGCCCATCTAGATCAAAGAGCGAGTCCTTGAGCTTCATCTTCTCAAGCAGGGTCGCGCTGTCAGGGGCCTGCAGACGAGAAAAAGTGGACCTTGGGGGTCCTGGTTGAGTGGGGCCTGCTTGAGCCGCCCTTCTCTTGGATGACTTTGCTTTCTTAACAAAGGTCTGGATGGTTCGGAGATCTGAGGGGGCCGAGTCCCAGCCATCACTGTCTGCCGCACTCTCACCTCGCAAAGGAGAGCTGGAGCCTGAGGCTGGCCAATCGCTTTCCTTAAATGGGGGGAAGAGACCAGGGTCAGCAGGGGCCCAGGGGCACCTCGGCCCCTGTACAAACCCAGGCTAAAAACCAAGGACAAGATCTACCCCGAGATACCCTGGCCCAAACCACTAAAACAAAAAACAAAACCACTGTACTCAGAAACTTTGTCCCCTCCCCAATTCCCCTCAGCATCTCCCCTTGAACACCTGCACGTCACCTCTGCAGTCCCCACAGCCTTGCGGCATTGTCACCCGCAGACCAGAGCGCGATTTCTTTTACCTGTTTCCGTATAGCCACGTTTGTTACCATTTTCAGCTTCCTAATACTTATCCAGCAGCGCCCTCCCATTAATACCCCAAGACCGACCATTCACTGCTGCTCGGCCCCGCCGAGTCTCTGAGTCACCCAACTGCCCCCAGGTACTGGTTTTCCCACGTTTCCCATTTCCCTGGTCTTCTGGGTCCCATCATCGGGTAGAGGTTTCCCTTACACAGTGACACAGACTGCCCTCTCCAGTCCTAGGACACCCACCCTCAGGCTACTGGCCCTCCAGTCCCTACCTCTTTGCTAGAGGGAATGTAACCGGCATAGGCCAACACGAAACTGCAGAATTTGTTGAAGTCCTCAATTGTTCTCCGACGTTTCTCTGGTGGCTGAAGGAAACAGGTATCACAAGGAATTTAAGAGGGGCATTCCCAAAGGCAGAAACCCCGGAGCAAGGGATCTAGAAGAGGCAGGAGGAAGGGGGAGAGGGAGAAGGGAGGGGAGAGAGAGAGAGAGAGAGAGAGAGAGA